TGTGCTTCATAGGTGGGGTACTTGTTTTGATAGCATGTCCATGGTAGTCCCCTCAACCATCGGATGTCTTTGGAATAAGGAATCTCTCAGATTCATGGGTACATAGAGGTTTTCGAATCAGGGCAGCTGTGGTGAAATCCATTTCTTGCTGTTGCCCTGGACACTACGATTGGTGACAAGATTTTCACTAAGCCCACACTTGATCTTGCCCTTGCCACAGGTCAGCCTTAGCTCTGGGGCCTCTAGTTTCTCAGGACTTAAAGCTATTTGTGAGTGGTCCATTTTTCCCATTCACCAGTTCAACAACCTGCTTCCCTAGTGGGTCCAGAGAAGGCCAATTTCCTAGGCAATGAAATGTTCCTTCCTTAAGCCTTGTTTTTCTAGAAAACTCCAATTCATTCTATAAGGCCAGCTCAAATGCCCCCTGCTCTGTGCAATGTGACTTCCCCTAGATCTGCAGATAAGTCATCTCACCACTCTGTGACGATGAGATGCAGACATTGCATACCAAGTAGACATGTGGTCCCCTGACTAGATGGTGGCCGGTCACCTGTCATAGTTGTCTGCTGCATGGTGGACAGACCTCGTGATGCCCACATGTTACAGGGCTTCTCCAGCCAAGACCAGTTCAACAGCTTACCTGGCAGGCTCAGGTCATGAGATCTAGGGACACATGTTCTATGAGTACTTTGTGAGTTGGGCAATGTGGTTGCTTAGGTGGTATACTTAGAAGTTGTACTCTGTGAACTAGTGTAAACTCAATGCTCTGTTCACTTGTATACAACATGGTAACATTTGTCCAGAGCTGGGTCTTGTCTGGTTTCAGGAGTCCATTGGGACTTCCTGTTCAACAAGATCTAATCTATCCAAGCTTGCTCTCACTCTATTTTGAGCCCCCACAGACTCTGCTTGGGTATGGTTTATGTGTGTTTTACCAGAGCGGGCACCTGACACTTCCACTGGTTGAGAGAGCAAGAGCAAGCTTGGATTTAAGGCAGAAAGCAAAAAGGTAAATCTATATTATTTGTCCATGACTGCAACAGCCCAAAGTATTACTTCTGTTTCTGATTGGGAACTGAAGTGGTTACCAAGGGTTCAGTTTAATAAATATTTATGCTTCCATCCTTTACCATGGTATTGCTGGTAAATGTTGTTGATTCCAACTCATAGTGACCCCGTATAGAGTTTCAAGGTGGGTTTGAACCACCGACCTTGTGGTGTGCAGTCCTGTGCTTATCCAACAGTGACACACCAGGACTCCTTAACATCACTTATAATGACTAACACAGTGGAAGGCCTGCCCTGGGAAGAGCCAGAGTGTGTGGAGGCAGCAGTATCATTCCTGCTTGATGCACGAGGCTCTCAGGGTTGGGCACGATCAAAGGACCCATCCATAGCTAGGCCATCAAGTACAAATGCAGATTCAAACAGGGTTTCGACAAGTGCTTCCTGTGATCATAGACTTGCTCAGAATGTTGGGGAGCTTGAGGGGATTCAGCATACAGTGCAAGATCCCATCTGTAGTTGTTGTTGTTAAATGCTGAAAGGTCGGTTCCAACTCATAGCGACCCTGTAAAGGGTTTCCGAGTTGCAGCTGGTGAATTTGAACTGCTGACCTTACAGTTTGCCCCACGTAACTCACAGGAACTCAGGAGGGGTATGGGTCCACACTCAACCATGATATCTAAGACAGGAGAGGAGGAGAGCTGTGCTGGCAGAAGGCAATTTCTCTCCCAAGGAGAGAAGTGTTGGTGAGTGCCTAGGCATAAGAGGCCAGAAGTAGGGGTAAGCTGTGAGCCAGTGGGGGCAGACACTCACCCATGTCCCAAGCCTGTCTCTTCAGCATCTGTGACATGACTAAGGGAATCCACCAGACTTAATATTTAGGTCCTCAGACCACCCAGGTAAATACTGGGGAGAATCAATCAGGGCTTGTCCAACACCAGTGACTAGGGTGGAGTGTGTGTGTGTGTGTGATAGGCTATGTATGAGGTGGATATCTGTATCCACCTCATATAAGTATGAGAGTACTACAGCAAACCAGGGCGTTAAAGTTAATTTTATTAAATCTTCAAACACAAATTTCAATGAAACTCACCTGTTGTTATTGTTGAGTCCCATTGGGTCGGTTCTAACACACAGAGACCTTGTATAGAGTTTCCAAGAAGCAGCTGGTGGGTTTGAACTGCCAACCTTTTGGTTCAAACTGACTTTGTGGTCCAGTGCATTATCCAGCAGCGCCACACCAGGACTCCATCTAGTAGGGGCATTATCATCCACCCAAGGAAACACAAACATCTGCTCACTGAGGCTTACCAAGTTTATAATTTTATTACAGTGCGAACAGAGCAGAGCAAATGACTATACAAAGGATTTATAGAACATTCATTTACATTCTGGATATACTCTTTATAGTATCAGAAAAGTTAAAAATATTCACTAACAAGTAAAGCTGCTACGGAGACATTACAAGGTCTTTGACACTGAGGATACACATGAAATTCTTTAATGCAGCGTGACTTTTAACGCAGTTAAAGTTAACACTGGTGGATTATAACAATATATTTCATGAGTAAGTTAATAGGATCCCGGCTATGATAGATACTTGTTACAAACATTTCTTGGGAACTCGTCAGTGTCCCCTCATACCCAGCAAGGCCTTGAGAGGTGATGCCTGGGAGTGTTCCTTGTCGTGTGTGCCCAGAGCCACAGGTGGTGGTGCATTTGTGAGGTCTTCGGTGCATATCACAGTTGTCTGTGACTGCAGAGAGTTGTCTTCTTGAACATGGACACACCAGGACAGAACCCGATCCTCTCAGCCCATCAGCAACCATAGACAGTTGTTTCCTTCAGTTCCTCGGAGGGAGCATTCTCCTGGGAGCAAATTTCCTGCTGCTTTTGACCACCAGCAAGATTTGAGTTTCTTATACGAGCTGAACAGTCTCAGACTCTCTTGGATGGTCCTGATGTCTCCATAATTCTAAGTAGCACATCCCTCTTCTGCTTTTATTCTTAAATAAGCCCTTTTTTAATTCCTCAGGGGTGGATCAAACTTGGGTACCGACTATTCTCAGTATGAAGTGGCTTCTTGGTGACAGGCTAGACATCTCCTCCCCTTTGACTGATTTCTGGAGTCAAGGAAACATTGAAACGCTAGATGCGTCCCCTGAAGACATAGGGTTACTAGGGCAAGTCAGCGCATTCTCTGTAACGGATATGCTGATATGCCTCAGGGAGGCAGGTCTGTGAAGACCAGGCAAACATTTGGCACAGAAATGAGGCACTTGCCTTTGGTGCATTGATAGGCGCTAAAACGTAGAGCCATTCAACTGCTTGTCTATATACACACAGCTGTGTACAAAACCTGCCAGAATTCAGACAATTCCTGCTCTGTCCAACACTGTTTATCTCTGTCCCTCATTTCAAAACAAGAATTCACCATGCCTCTTTTCAAACTCATGTCTGTTGCTACGATCTCTGTGTGATTTAAGAGTTTGCACGTCAGCACAGGAATGGCTCACGATCTGCATAGTCACCATGGAGCACACTGGCCTCTAAGGGGAAGGCACCATGGCTTTGTTAGAACTTGGCCTAGCTCCAGCTCTCATTCTGACTAGGTCCCAGCATCAAGCAGTTCCTCCAAACCTTTACCAATGGTATACATTCTATTGCAGTAATTGGCTAAGCATCAGGTGGCACACACAGCTTCTACGTAGTGAGAATTACTCTTTTCCTTCTTCCTCGTTTTGCTCAAGGGGGCCAGAAACACACAAGGTCCCTGTCAGGAAGGAACACCTGTGTGGCGAGAAGCACTCTAAAGAGGACTCCTGCCAGAGCTTATGAAGGTGAGAAATTCTTTATGCAATGCTACACTGGGCTTTAACATGACTCCAAACAAGCAGATGCTAAGCTGTGTTTTCACTGATCACTTCCTACTCCTTCTGAACCTTTCCCACCAAAAGAGTCATTCAAAAATATGGGAAAAGACAGAAGTAAAGAATTAGAATGGGCTCTTGGTAACTTGGCACACGGAGGACTTCTAACAACACCCCCATCGGTCCCGGCACCACCACTCTGTGTGTGAAGACACCAGCAGAGCATCTTCATGGTGATGACCCCTAAAAGCCAAGAGTGCCAGGTGGCAATGCAATGTCTGGACACACACAGTACAGCGATGGCAAACGGATAGAAATATTTTGGCATAAATGAACTTCCATCTTCTTCTTTTATCCTTTCCTGGTCAAAATGGCTTCTCCCTGGTCCACTCATTACACGGAACCCGTCTGTAAGAGCAGGAGATGAGCGTCGTCATCCACCTGAGGCTTGGTTTCTAGAACAGCCTAGTACTCTTTTCCGATTGAAGCCCAAAGGCTCCCTACGTGCTCATCACACACCCTGTCATCGGCTTGTTCACGACTCCTCAATGTCTGGAAGGACTTGACCTGTACGGACCTTCATCAACATGTGTCCCCTTCTGCATCGGGTCCATCTCCACTGCTGGACAGGACTGACCTGAGGGTCACTATCGCTCCCCTCAGCTAACCAGGAGTCTTTTGAGGATGGGAGATCTGGTGGCCACACCACACAGTTGATGCACTGGACAGAGAGGCTGACAAACCAGGACGAAAGGCTCCCCACCCCTTTCTCTGTATGTGCTTCTGTGTATGTTTCTTTCCAATGTGGCCCCTGGTGTCCAACTTTTTTCATCCAGGAAGCGCTTGGTTAGAGATACGTGTCACATGAGGAGTTTCTGTTGGGAAAGGCCAATAAATGGTGAGGCCGTTTCTTGTCTTTTGTAAAGTTGGAACACCCACTTTTCTTCTTGGGTTGATTGGGAAGATCAGAAATTTCAGTTTGCTACAAAGTAGTGGCCCCGTCCCAATCCCATGATACCTCAAGGTCTTCGAAAGGCTTTCTGAGAAAGGAAAGGCCAAAGCCGAGCCTGCCACAAAGCAAGGGCATAATGCCAACTGTCTTCTGCTCCGGGCTGTGAGACATTCTTAGATCTTCTTTGGGGACCCAATCATGACCTTTGATACAAAGTTCACGATGGCACTAGCTGGTTGCTCAGGGTCATGTTCTGCAAATAGGTGACACACGTTGTCAGTGGTGCTGCCCTGCTTTCGGGCCACAAACCCAAAGACCCTGCAAAGGAAAAGCCAAGGTCAGAGAGGCCAATGTTCCACCAACCACCACCAGGCTCACCATGGGGTGTGATTTTAATGACCACTTAATAACATCTATATGCCAAGGCCCCTGCTAGGTACCTATCTGGGCACTTTAGCCTTCTCAAGCCCTGCATGTAACATGTCACTACATGTAAGGAACATGAGGTTGAGAGGTGAGCAACCAATTCATGACCCAGCACAAGGGCTTGACACCAAGTCAGGCATCACCGAGAGGCTTCTCCACATGTGTCTCAAGGCCACTGGTCGGACTCCCCTAGATACTTAGTCATACAGATCCCAGAGCCCCACACAGTAACATGAGTCTCTGAGGGGAGGATGGGTCCATGGCGCTGGGTGATTTCTCAGTGCATTCTGGTGTGAGGGTCTCACTTCAAGAAATCAAGCTAGATGGACTCTGAGGTACTACCGCTGAGTACAGAACAAACGAGTTCAAAATGCTGCTGAAGACCAGTTGGCTAGTGCTAACAATCAATTGTCGATGCCTGGAATGGTGTTGAATTCGCTGACTCTCCAACCCCGAATTCTAGAAGCAGTGAGCGCTATTTAATGGGACAAGCTTGTAAACAAACAGATGGTTTGGAATGAGAGCAGAAACTGGACTCCCAAGCAGCTGGAGAAACCCCAAATTCCCCAGTCACCTCCAATGGGTATTTATTGTAATACAGACTAGGAACACGGTTTCTAAATCTAGAACTTCTGTTTTAGACATACAGGAGGATTAAAACCACACATAAAGCACAGATTTCAATATAGAGGAAATAAAAAAGTAAGTAAATACAAGTACGCCTGTGACTCTCTCGGGCTTTTATATATCAGGGGAACTGTTTAAAAGAAGAGTACATGTAATTCTTTGTCTTAGATGAATGGAAGCCAGTATCTTAATAGATTTTTATGAGTACTAAACTTCACACACTAACTCCTAGTATCTGTATCTAAATTCCTGGGACAGGTCTTCTTTATCTGAGAAAAATGAAGACTGTTGGATTATGTCTTAACAGTTTCCACACTGAGGAGGAAGAAGCTCAGTAAATGGCACTTAAGTGGTCCCCATACAGTTGCAAAGTCCTTGAAGATGAAGGGTTCACCCCACTCCTGCTTGCCCAAGTGTAAGGAAAATGTGCCGAGAGCCTGGAGTTGGGGCCATCTGAGCATTCCGTCAGATCCCTAATACAGGGAGACATTTGAAACCATTCTAGGGAAGGGAACCTGTGACTTGACATTGTAGGAAATTAAGCTTAGATTCTGGAGAAGACCATCAGAAAACTGAGAAGACGGCTGCACATCAGAGAAGGCAGATAGGATGAGACCCCTTCTGCCAACAAATGGTGCCAAACCTGAGTCCCCACATGGCTATGAGAAGATGCTGAGTGGAAGCCCATGTGAAGCAGCCACTTCCCTACTTACAGAACTAAGGTAAGACCTACTGGAGAAAGGGACCTGCCAAAAAAACACTTCCTGTCCTGTCCCTGGCCTGTCACAGAGCTGGGCGTAATGAGAACTGTCTTCTACTTTGTGTGTGATAAACACTCAGCATCCATTTAATTTGTGTTCATGTTCACAGAAAGTTCTTCTCCTTGACACCACAGACCTCAAAACGACTGTAGGCTACGTCTCCTAGGCTGAGAGAGCCGTACTCTTCCTCATGGGTTTTATACATAACTGAACGAATCAAATGTAAACACAGAACATGTAATGAGTAGTAGGCAGGAAGGTGAACACCATTTAGTTCCTCCCCACTGTGATTTTTAAAAGCAAAAGCAAAAACAATTCACATGATTTAGTCACTTGCCTATCAGGAAGTCTCTTGAAATATGAAACAGCATTCAGTTTTGAACTTGCCTATAAACTAAAGAGCGAATGTAAAGAAACTCTGACAACTTACTTTGAGGAAGGGCCATCTTTGATCCACCTTGTGAGGTAAAGAGAAAGAAGAAAGCTTTATGTCAGTTCTAATTAAAATTAAGGGGTAAAATAAAGTGTGCTGTTATCATTGAGCGCCATCAGGTCAGTTCCGACTCATAGAGACCCTGCGTAGGGTGTCTGAGGAGCATCTGGTGGGTTTGAACTGCTGGCCTCGTGGTTAGCAGTCGAGTGATTATCCTACAGTGCCACACCAGAACTCCGAAAATAAAGCATGGCTGTTGTCGACAAGTGCCGTCAAGTTGATTCCAACTCATGGTGACCCTGTATAGGGTTTCCGAGGAACAGCTGGTCAGTTTGAACCGTCGACCTTACAGTTCAAATCGACCTTGTGTTTGAATGTTTATCCTATTGCATTGTTGCTGTTGTTAAGTGCCGTCGAGTCGGTTCCAACTCATAGCGACCCTGTATAGGGTTTCCAAGGAGTACCTTGCAGTACAAACTGACCTTGCAGTTCAGCGCATTAACCCATAATGCCACACAAGGACCCACTCTGCCACAAAGTATATGCACTGCTTAATCATACGAACTTCTTACTTTCTGTCTTGTGGATCCAAAGCACAGAAGATCACGCTATTAACAGGGTAGTGTCTCCGGAAGAAGAGCCTGTCCAAGAAACAAGATAGAGGAGATGAGTGTGCTGGCATTGTATGATGATGGACCATATAGTATACAGGTCTCCCATATATGATTGTTTTAAATCTCTACTAATCACATAGAGAGAACACAGTCTGGGCTCACTGTGAGTCAAAAGGTACTATGGAGTTGGGAAATAGCTGGCATGGCGGTGAAACGTACCACTCTATAGAGGGGCCTGTCAGAACCATGGGCTACGGAAGTCAAACCAAAGGCACTCAACTACCTGGAGAATCCAGTGAGTGAGGGAGAAGTATAAAGAAGTATCCTCAGGGCCTGGCCTGACCTTCCCTTGCCTGTCATCTTGGGGAAACCACTTCCTGTTTCCGAGCCTCAGTGTCCCTACCTCTAAAGAGGAGAAGCACAAAGCCAATCCCATCAGTCTCACAGAACTGGTGCCCAAATCAATAAGGCAGTGGATGAAGGCCCTTTGTAAACTGTCAAGGGCTGTGCACATTATTTGTGGGGGAAATGCCATTCACGCTGACCTCAGCTCCCTTGCTGATGTAACCACTAGAGTGTGCTGTGTTCAAGATTCATAGGTCCTTGTGTTTGTCTGCCCAGCTCGCCCAGTCTCCTTTTAGTACACTGCCCTCTCCTGGTCCACGCGGTCCTGGGGGTGGGGTGGGGTGGTCATAACAATGCCCTGTCCTTTGTGTCGAGGCAGGGCCAGCCTCGTAGGCACTTGGGGATAGTTCTCCATTTTAGGAGACCGATAAACATGTGTTTCCCAGCTGCCACCGGGAGGAAGTCAGAGGCCAGCTTGAGACGGACAGAGAGGCCAGTATTTGGAGAGAGGAGAGGTTGGGCCGGACCTTGCAGTCCAAGGCATGCTGTGGCTGCACACACCACCATCTCAGCTGCCTTTTGATGCAGACTGTCAGAGAAAATGCTTCCTCGATCCCTTTCCCATAGAAGCCAGTCCAAGAAATTAAAATCCACACTCTTCTAATATTAAAGGGCTTGACTAGGTTGCTCGCCTCCATATTTTATCAAGGATAACAGAAAAGATGAAGAAAAACACACTGTTAAAGGGTCAGTAGAGTCAGTTCTGAGAGGAACTAGAAGAGGCAGCTGGGAGCACTAAGAAAAGCAAGTTCAGGAACAGTGGTCTGAGGCTATCCATGTACACAGGAGGCTGGACATGGGCCTAGCCGCGGAGGTTTTGGGTGGGAGCATGACTTTGATATTTATTACTTCCTTTTGCCAATTTTAAATGAATTCACCAAAGTTTATGTTTATCAGAGTTGTTAAGGGCGCCACAAAATATATGCAACAACAATTATGTTCTAAGAAGGCTCACTTAGTCCCCTCCCAGCAGGGAATGGTGCTCTGTGCTTTGAAGTAATAAGGTGTTCGTTTCTGTGACCCTTCAGACCTGCCTTCCCAGTGTTCCTCCTGCAAGAGGAGGAGCCCTTGGCTTTAGGAGTAAAGGTATGTCAGATTCAATGGCTAATTGTTATGCAAAGAGCCTGGTGTGATTGTCAGCTAGTTATCAGCTAAAAGAACAGAGTTGTAGAAGGAGTTAGCAGGGGAAGGTAGCTAATGCCCGCAGAGTAGTTCTGATTCAGCCCTAATCCTTCAGCCCCCAGTAGCTCTCCAAGGAGGATGGGGGTGGGGTTGGATAATGGGAAAGTTTTCTCCATCTATCCAAGATAAAGCAAGCCGGGAGCAGATTTTACTGATAGACCTTTAACAACCAATAGTGTGAGACGGGACTCTGCGTTCAACTGCTATCTCTGCCACTGTCCTGGGGTAGCGCTGTGGGTTAATGAGCTGGACTGCAAAGCTGGTTTGAACCACAAGGTTGGTGGTTCTAGCTCACCAGCCACTCCTTAGAAACCCTGTACCGGGGTCATTATGGTTAGAAACAACTCGACAGCACTTAACAACAACAAAACAAAATGGCAACCACTTAAAAATAATAATATTTACAGTAGAGATGGAGAGACAAGAGCAGCTGCTGACTAACTCTAGGCCCATGGAATGAGTAAGGCTACGTGCCTATAGGCCTGGCTTGCAGAATGTGCCCTCTGTACATTTAAATGAATATGTATTTTTTGCTTTGTTTGTGTACATCAAGTACTTTCACTTTGTTAATTTGTGAAATATATGATGTAAATGGGGACCCACAGGGTGGAAGTAGGAAAACTTCCAACTCTTGTTGCAGGGAGGAGATTGTAATCACTGAGATGAAATAAAGTGTATCATTTGTTGAATGTAAAGCTAA